TGAGACAACATCCACTGAGACATGAGACAACATCCACTGAGACATGAAACAACATCCACAAAGACATGAGACAACGTCCACTGACACATGCCACCACATCCACTGAGACACGAGACAACGTCCACAGAGAGATGAGCCAATATCCACTGACACATGCCACAACATCCACTGAGACATGAAACAACATTCACTTAGACATGCCACAACATCCACTGACACATGAGACAACATCCAATGAGACATGAGACAATGTCCACTTAGACATGAGACAATGTCCACCGACACATGCCACAACATTCACTGAGACATGCCACAACATCCACTGACACATGAGACAACATCCACAGAGACATGAGACAACATCCACAGAGACATGAGACAATGTCCACTAAAACATCAAACATTCTCTGAGACATGAGACAACATCCACTGAGACATGAGACCACGTCCACTGAGACATGCCACATTGTCCACAGAGACTTGACACAATGTACACTAAGACATGAAACAATGTCCAGAAAGACGTGAGACAACCCCCACAGAGACAAAACAAACAATGTCCATAGAGACTTGAGACATAATGTCCACAGAGACATGAGATATCATCCAGAGAGAGACAAGAGAAATCCACAGGTTTTATTTCAGGAACATTTATTTCAATGTGTCTGAAGATGAATACAGAAGGTTAGGACATGTCTCATATTGGACAAAAACGTCCTGTCATCTCAGTTTTCTTTGTTTTCTCCTGTCTGCAGCTGAGCTGAGTGCCTTCAGGCCATCCTCCTTTTACATTCTCATCAACACCAAGGTGGGTCTCCAGCTGGCTGTCCAACTGTCCCCCGTGATGCAAGTCTTCATTTCAGCTCATGTGTCCCTCAGAGAAACCCCTTCAGGTATGTGTCCAACTCATCACAGAGTCCCTGGACACACGTGCCCTGTTTCTCTATAGGACCTTTGACCTCCTGTCTCTGCTGAAATGTCTCTCGGGTGTCTAACTGGTGTTTGTGACAGGATTGTGTGGGAACTTCAACAACAACTCCCGTGATGACTTCAGAGCGAACAGCGGCCTGGTGGAGGGAACTGTTGCAACATTTACCAAATGCTGGAAAACTTATTCCTGTCCTGATGTCCAGTTGCAGTTTGGAAATCCCTGCAGCCAAGATATCACCAGGGGTACACAGGAAGTCCTGGACCTCGTGTGTCCTCAGTCATATGCTTTTTTCACATCATATCTCTGAGTGTAACTGTTTTTTGACGTTTGTGTGCCATAGAGAATTTTGCTCAGTTCTGGTGCTCCAAACTGACTGATCCAAGCGGGGTGTTTGCCCCCTGCCACCCTGTCATCAGCCCCAACACCTATAGAGATGTAGGTCTGAAAACTGTAACAACCCTGCCTGCTTGGGAGTCAGAATGTCTACCAACACACTCATCAGAGAAAAAAAGAATACATTTCTTCTTTCTTTTTCAGTCTTTCACAGAAAAAAATCATATTTAAGTTACTAACACTTGCAAACAGATGAACATGTGATCTTAACACTGGTAGCCCTTCTGACTCAAACTGCTTTTTCTGTGTTCATACTGACCCTTCAGCTTCTTTTAGCATTTTACACCTCAATGTAAAGTCTCACTGACGGGTCCGCCCGGTCCATGTCTCCTCAGAACTGCATGTACGACAGCTGTAGCTGTGACAGGAGTGAGGACTGTATGTGTGCTGCCGTCTCCTCGTACGTGTTCGCCTGTTCAGCAGCCGGAGTCCACCTCAGTGGATGGAGGGATGTCATCTGTGGTGAGTGCACATCCACCATCACATCTGGAATTCTCAATAAATAATACAGAGTCACAGCTGGGATTATCAGAATCAGAATAAACTTTTTTGGAATTGCACTGAGGTACAACGCGAATATGTACGTACAGTCGTCCGAAAGATGGGCGGAGTGCATGAAGCTGCAACTACAAATCAATAAATAATCCAGAATCACAACTGGGATTATCAATAAATTATCCAGAATCACAACTGGAATTATCAATAAATAATCCACAGTACTTTTCCTTTGACTTTTGCTGCCACCCTTTTATCGCAAATCACTCCTGAAACTTTTCTCCATGCACTCCATCCTGCCTGGACTCTCTTCTCCACCTCTTTACCACACTCCCCATTTTCCTGGACAGTGGACCCCAAGTACTTGAAGTCCTGCACCTTTGTGACCTCTGCTCCTTGTACTCACTGTTCCACCGGCCTCCCTCTCATTCACACACATGTACTCTGTCTTACTACAACTAACTTTCATTCCTCTTCTTTCAAGTTTATACCTCCACCTCTCCAAGTTTTTTTCCGCCTGTTCCCTGTTTTCACCACAGATCACAATGTCGTCTGTAAACAACATATTCCAGGGGGATTTCTGTCAGACCTCATCTGTTAGTCAGTCCACCACCAGAGCAAATAAGAAGGGGCTCAAAGCTGATCCTTGATGGAATCAAACATCCACCTTGAAGCTATCTGTCACAGCACATCTCACCACTGTCCTGCTGTCCTCATACATGTCCTGTACCAGTCTAACATATTTTTCTGCCACTCTAGATTTCCTCATGCAATACCACACCTCCTCCCTCGGCACTCTGTCATATGCTTTTTCTAAATCCACAAAGACACAATGGAGTTCTTTCTGGCCCTCTCTGTACCTCTCTATCAACATCTTGAAAGCAAAGATGGCATCTGTGGTGCTCTTTCATAGCATGAAACCATACTGCTGCTCACAAATTGTCACCACTCGTCTAAGTCTTGCTTCCACAACTCTCTCCCAGATCTTCATCATGTGGCTCATCAACTTAATTCCCCTGTAGTTGCTCCAACTCTGTACATCACCCTTGTTCTTAAAAATGGGCACCAGCACACTTCTTCTCCATTCCTCAGGCATTTTCTCACCCTCAAACATACCATTGAATATTTGAGTCAAAAACCTCACTGCCATCTCTCCAAGACATTTCCAAACCTCCACTGGTATGTCATCAGGTCCTACTGCCTTCCCTTTCTTCATTCTTTTCAGAGCTTTCTGGACTTCACCCTCACAAATCTTCCCCACTTCCTGGTCCACAGACTATGACCTCTACTCTTCTTTCTCTTTCATTCTTTTCATTCATTAGCTTCTCAAAGTATTACTTCCATCTTCCCCTCACACTCTCCTCACTTGTTAGAACATTACCATTCCTTTCTTTAATAAGCCTAACCTGCTGCACATCCTTTCCAGCCTGATATCTCTGTCTCACCAATTGGTGCAAGTCCTTCTCACCTTCTTTAGTGTCCAGCCTCCCATACAACTCCATCCATCCATCCATCCATTTTCTTTACCCGCTTATTCCATTTTTGGGTCACGGGGGTCGCTGGTGCCCATGTCCAGCAATCACTGTGCGAGGGGCGGGGTACACCCTGGACGGGTCGCAAGTCCATCACAGGGCCACACAGAGACAAACGAGACAAACAACCATTCACTCTCTCACTCACACCTAGGGACAATTTAGAGTTACCAATTAGCCTAACATGCATGTTTTTGGACTGTGGGAGGAAACCGGAGTACCCGGAGAAAACCCACGGATGCACGGAGAGAACATGCAAACTCCACCCAGAAAGGCCCCTGGACCGGGGTTTGAACCAGGGACCTGCTCGTTGAGAGGCAGCAGCTCTACCAGTTGCGCCACCGTGCTGCCCCCCATACAACTCATCGTACGCCTTCTGCTTTGCCTTTGCCACCTCCCTCTTTGCTCTACATCCCATCTCCTTATATTCCTGTCCCCTGTCTCTAGTCTTCCCATTGTCATATTTCTTCTTGGCTAACCTCTTTCTTTGAATAGCTTCCTGCACCTCATTATTCCACCACCAGGTTTCCTTATCATCCATTCTCTGTCCAGATGACACACCAAGTACCTTCCTACCTGTCTTTCTAATTACTGTTGCTGTAGTCACCCAGTCATCTGGAAGCTCTTACCACACAGAGCCTATAACAGCTCCTCTCTGAACTCCTCACAAGATTCTTCCTTTCTTAGCTTCCACCATTTGGTCTTCTTCTCTAATTTTACTGTTTTTCTCTTCTTCACAACAACAGTCATTCTACACAGAACCATTCGATGTCTGGTCACACTCTCCCCTGCCATAACCTTACAGTCCCCAATCTCCCTCAGGTTTCCTCTTCTACACAGAATGTAGTCGACCTGCATACTCCTTCCTCCACTCTTTATAGGTCACTCTAAGTTCCTCCCTCTTTTGGAAATAAGGGTTGACTAAAGCTTGCCATTCTCTTGGCAAAATCTACCACCATCTGTTCTTCCTGGTTTCTTTCCTTGACACCAAAGCTACTCATCACTTTATCAGCTTCTCTGTTTCCTTCACCATCATGTCCATTCAGGTCTGCTCCGATCACCACTCTCTCCTCCCTGGGAATACTCTCTATCACTTCATCCAGATCCTTCCAAAATTTATCTTTCTCTTCCACATCACACTCAATCTGTGGAGCATAACCACTGACAATGTTTAGCATAAGACATTCTTCTTCTATCTTCAGACAAATCACTCTATCTGACACTCTTCCACACCATGGTAAAACAGTTTGAACCATGCTTCAATGCTGTGAGCCTTGCTGCCCTTCCACTTTGACTCTTGGACACATAAAAACATCTACCTTCCTTCTCTGCATCATGTCAGCTGGCTCTCTATCTTTGCCTGTCATTGTCCCCACATTTAGAGTTGCAACCCTCAGTCCTACATTCTTGACGTTTCTCTTCTCCCTCTGTCTCCTGACACGTTTCCCTCCTCGTGGTCTTAAACTAACAGTAGCACAATTTCCTCCAGCACCCTGTTTGTCAACATCACTGGTGGTCATAGTTGTTAACTCGGGCCTTGACCGATCCGGTATGGTGTCGCTTAGATGAACTTGCATGTTTACTTTGGTCAAAGTGTTTTACCTCGGATGCCCTTTCTGACACAACCCTCACCATTTATCCGGGCTTTGGACCTGAACCAGAGATACACTGACTTGTGCTCCCTGGTGGCTGGTTTACAGTCGAGGCGGGGATTATCAATAACAGGGGGAACACAGCTCTGTTTGGACAGTCAATGATTTGATTTGATTATTTTTAAGCAGATTTTTGACTGAACTGTGCAATGAAACTGCCATGAAATTAGAAATTGTTCATTTCTTTGTGAGTAAATTGACAGATAATCATCTTTTTTGTTGGTGAGATGTTTAAACTCTAAATCCTTCAGGGTTTTTTTTTTATTTGAAGTTTCAGACCCTTCACAGGTGTTCTGTAGTACTAAGATCTAAGGACCAAATCAGCTGCTCCAGAACCCTACACCCCATTTGTTTCCTTGGCAGGGATGTTGGTTACTTAACAGAAAAATAGCCCCAAACTATAATGTTTCCACCTCCGTGCTTAACTGTAGGGATGGTGTTCTTTGGGTCTTACTCAGTGTCTCTCTTCCTCCAGACATGGCAGTTTGGTTTGATGCCAAAGAACTGGACTTTGTTCTGACCACAGAACCTTCCCTGAATCATTTAGATCTTTTCTGACTGTAGATGGACCTTCTTCAACAGAGGAACCTTTTGATGAACACTAAATCTTTTCTGGACCTGATAAATATAGACGTAATCGTGTTGTGTTATTCTGTTGTTTGTTTGTCTGCAGGGACATTCAGGGACTCCTGTCCAGCAGGGACCGTGTATGAGTACAACATGACCTCCTGTGGTCGTACATGTCGTTCCCTCAGTCAGGTGGATTTCTCGTGTCAGAACAGCTTCGCCTTGGTGGACGGCTGTGGCTGCGCTGAGGGAACCTTCATGGACGAAGACGGACAGTGTGTGTCCAGTGAAAGCTGTCCCTGCTATGACAAAGACAACATTATTCCTGCTGGACAAGCTGTCTTCAAGGATGGAGCCACATGGTAATTACTCATACATCCAAAGTCTGGACATTGGACGTTCACATATAATCTGTACTTTTCAAATAGAGACAACATAAAAAGAAGTTTTACAGAACACTTACAATAAAAATGTATTTTACTTTCATTAATATTGACAACTGAAAGATTAAAGCATGCAAACATTAATGTGTACCTTTTTAAACTAGAGCTAAAATAACAGAAAACACACTTTTCCTTTTTATTGTGATGAAAATGCATCAGACTTTTGTCCCTGAGTAACTTTTAGTTCAAATCAAACGATGTCAGGATTCTGTCTAACAATCTGTGTGTTTGCTCAGCGTCTGCAGACATGGAGCTCTGAGCTGCTCCGGAGGAACGCCACCACAACGTAGGTCCACGTTACATCCTTACAGTGTTACATCGTCATGACATTGGTTTACTAAATCCTGAAACAGTAACTGATCAGTGGAGTCCAGTTCTGGCCCTCATGGACCTCTGTCCTGCAAGTTTGATACATTATTTATGTAATAATTTCATATAACAACAACTGAAATTGAAAAAAAAAAACAAATAAAACAAACCAACAAACTGCTGCCAAACCCTGTAAACAACAAAACCTATAAAAATAACACCTGGAAACATCGTTAATACCAACGTTCACCACAGAAAACAAAAGAAAGCAACCTGCTGAGGTAATAAGTGAATGGACATATGAATGAATGAAATAATTAATAAATGAATGAACAAATGAATGAATGAATGTGACATGTGAGTGAATCTCAGAGGACAGCTGAGTCTGTCATGTGGTGAGTTATAAAATCTGCTCCAGAACCAGAGGTGATGATATTCCAACACTATCTGATCATCTGTTCCTCAAATTAATGTTTGTAACAATTCAAACTAAGTGACTTTGAACCAAACGGTTTAGAGCTGAGTGTTTTGAGCACTGGTTCTGATCCACTGTAAAGCTCGTCTGAGATCTGCTCCTGGTGTGAGAGACAGGAGTCAGACAAAGAAACAAATCAACTAAAGGAGACACTAAATGCTCTGACGACGGCTCACTGGTCACTGCTTCATAGAAGGGATGGTGACCTGCAGGTTTTAGATGTTCCTCTGCTTCAACACACATTCAGTTCTGCTGAAGCCCGGTAATGACCCGTTATTTCAATCAGGTATGTTGAAGCATCTAAAACCTGCAGGACAGGGGGCCCCGGGGACCTGGACAGGACTTCACTAAAACCTGCAGCTAACAGACACCTTCAGATCTTCTGTCTGAACTCTTTAGTTTGGACCTGATTCTAATAGACCTGAATCCTTCCAGAATCAGCATCATGTGTGGCCCCCATGGTTTACTTTGACTGTTCCACTGCTGAGCCGGGGGCCGCAGGGGCCGAGTGTCAGAAGTCCTGCAGCTCTGTGGATATACAATGTGTAAGTACACATGGTTCTATGGGTTTATTCAGACCCAGATCAGGGTGAACCTCCATCTGTCTGCTGGTTGCAGATCAGTACCGGCTGCACGTCCGGCTGCGTCTGTCCTGACGGGCTGCTGTCAGACGGAACCGGAGGTTGCATCGACGAGATCAGCTGTCCCTGTGTCCACAATGAGCTCGTTTACCAACCAGGACAGACGCTCACAGTGGACTGCAACACCTGGTTGGTCCACAGACAAACAAATAAACAAACAACAGACATACCCATAATCCAAACATTTCAGCTCTGCGTGCTGTTTGTTATTTATCTACGACTGTGTGTCCGCAGCTTGTGCAGTGGAAGGATGTTCACGTGCACGGCCAACGAGTGCGACGCAGTTTGTGGACTCTATGGAGACGGTCACTACGTCACGTTTGACGAGAAGAGGTTCGACTTCAACGGACAGTGTGAATACACGCTGCTCCAGGTAAACCAGGAGTTCTGGGGTTTTACTCAGTCACTCTGACTCTGAGCAGTCAGGTCCAGTAATGTGTTCTGTGTGAACGCCTTCCTCAGGACTTCTGTGGTTCGGATCAGAACGACGGAAGCTTCAGAATCATCACTGAGAACGTTCTGTGTGGAACCATAGGAACCACCTGCTCCAAAACCATCAAGATCTTTTTGGAGGTAAAACCAATGTCAGTTTGATTTCTTGGGCACATTTAAAACAACAATGTTGAGGAGGCAAAACCCGGAAGAACCAACAATAAAATCAAAAAAATGACAGAAAAGCAGCAGGTCAAAAAAAAAAAAAACAGGCTGAAACGGGAAAACAAGAAAACACCACGGCCTCAAAAACGATCCAGCCGAACTCAAACTGAACGAGAAATAAAAGCCAGTGGAAAAAGCAAGGCAAGATTTAAAAGACTGAACTGACTCTGGAGAACCAATATCAAGGGTCAGGTCACTCTAGAGTTTGAATGGACATCTTGGTCCAGAGTCTAGTGGCCTGATCCCCCACCTAGTTTTTCCTCTGCTGCTCTGAGAGAATCTGGATGGAGGATATCAGTGCTCTGTTATGGTTATAAAAGTCAAAATGTTCCATCAGATAATTGGAAGTCAAACCATTTAAAACTTTAAAAGTTAATACAAAGAATCTTTAAATCAATATGAAAACAGAGTAAATCTGCTGAAACTGGAGAGATGTGGTCCTGGCTTCTGTTAAAAGACATACAGCCGCGTTCTGGACTAACTGCAGGCGAAGGAGAGCGACTGTTCAAGATCAACATAAAGCGCCACTCTGACTCTGAAACCCTGACAGCTGTTGGGTTCTCATTTCCAACACTGAATCTTTTTGCTTTCGTTCAATGAGCTCTGCTCGTCTGGGTTTCAGGGGTTTCTGCAGTACTAAACAGATTTTGCCGTTTATCGTCTGTTATGTTGATGTCCACAGGAAAATGAATTCCAACTTAAAGACGAGAACTTTGAGGTGATCAAAGGGAACATTCAGGTTCTCGGTGTTCAGATACAAAAAGTGGGTGTTTACCTTGTGGTGACCATCAAATCAGGACTTCTTCTGATGTGGGACCAGAAGACCAGTCTGTTCATCTCCCTCAGCCCACACTTTCAGGTAAAAACAACTTGTACTAAAGCTTTCTTTTGAGTCAATGAGGTTTCATTTTGGTTCATTTCAGGTTGAATCTCAGATAAAAGAAACGTCCTGATTAACACTCAGATTCAAAACGAGACGTTCAGTTCTCAGTGTTGTTGATACAGTCACTTTTAACAGAATAAAAACTTTGATCGTAGTGACTGCTGATCATAATTGTCTGAGTGTTAGTAATATATTCAGATGCATGATGTTTCTTTGATTTGAAGCGGAAGTCAAGAAAAAGCTCAGATCCACCGAGTCTCAGTCTCGTCTTTGTCACAATAATTTGAGTTTTGTCCTCTCAGGGTCAGGTCTGCGGTCTCTGTGGAAACTATGATGGCAACAGTAAAAATGATTTCACCACCCGCTCTCAGGAGACAGTGACAGATGTTTTAGAGTTTGCAAACAGCTGGAAAGTTTCATCCAGCTGCCCTGACGCCCAACTCATCAGTGACCCCTGTGCCTCTAACCGCTACCGGGCCGCCTGGTCCCAGAAACAGTGCAGCATCATAATTAGCTCCACCTTCCAGAGCTGTCATAACAAGGTAATCCACATGCACAGGTTGTATCCCTGCAACAGGTCCTCCTGTGGGGGGGCACTGCAGCATCAACACCAGTGTTACAGTTTATATTATTACTCATGGGATGAGAAGTTAAACTGACCGTGTTCTGTTTCAGGTTAACCCGGGCCCATACTTTGACTCCTGTGTGAGGGACTCCTGTGCTTGTGACACTGGAGGAGACTGTGAGTGTCTCTGCACTGCTGTGGCTGCCTACGCTAAGGCCTGTAACACAGCAGGGGCATGTATTCACTGGAGAACGCCAAAGTTGTGCCGTAAGTTCGACCGTCAGTTATCGTAGAGGCTGAGCTTTAGGCTTGTAAAGATCTGTATGAAATTCTGCATAAATATGACCTGAAACATCATCAGATTTTCACACAATTCCTAAAAGCAGATACAGAGAACCCAGTTCAACAAACGAGACAAAAATATTATACTTGGAAATGTATTTATTGAGGGAAATGATCCAATATTACATATTTGTGAGTGGTAAAAGTATGTTGGTATGTTGATCTGGTTTTTTCAGCCACTATCCAGAGTTCAAGACCATAGGTGAGCGTAGGAACGTAGACAACTGGTAAACAGAAAGTATCATGATGCATGCTCATGCATGGAGGTAAACAGAAAGCTTCTCCTTGCAGCTCAGCTCCCTCTTCACCACAATGGACTGGCACAGTGTCCACAATACTGCAGAAGCTGCACCAGTCTGGTTGATCTCACGTGCCATTATTCCCTCACTGAGAACAAAACCCTGAAATACAACAAATCCTGAAATATTTGAACTCCTCCATTTGAGGCGGAACCTCACCCACAACCTGGAGAGGACAGTCTATCCTCTGACTGAGGACCTTGGTCTCAGATCTGGAGGTTCTGATCCTCATCCCTGCTGCTTCACCTGTAAAAATCTGCAAAAAGAGACACAATAAATCAAAGGCTTGCTGTCTTTCTCTTGCGTGACACCTAGACACTAACATTTGCTGCATCTTTAATCGTTCATTGCTCTGTAAATTGATTCTCTTAGGTACATGTACTTTGTAGTACCAAGAACCAAAATTGAGTTTTTTTTCTCCTACAGCTATTTTTTGTGACTACTATAACTCACCTGGAGACTGCGAATGGCACTACAAACCCTGCGGAGCAGACTGTATGAAGACTTGCAGGAATCCATCAGGAAACTGTTCCAAACTCACCACCACCATGGAAGGTTAACTATAATTAGCATCTTGATTTTAGTAAAACATCAGTTCTCTAATTTAAAAACAACTCGAGTTGGACATGTTTTGTATTTTAGCTTGTCAGATTTGTTTTTCTCTGAAGTTTTTTTTTTAGTTTCAGTTTGAACAAATGAATAAATCTTGTGGTGTTGCAGGCTGCTATCCCAAGTGTCCCCAAGCCACGTCTTTTTTTAATGAAGATACCATGAAGTGTGTTTCCTGGGACCAGTGCGGGTGTTACGATGAAAAGGGGATTCACTACAACATAGGAGAGCAGGTTCCAGCCAACAACTGTTACACATGGTACAAAAAGAGTCCCCCTCTGATTATTTATGCAAACATTCACAACATTTTTAAATACAGGCTGGCTACATGTTTTCAACATTATTACATATTTAAATATTCAAATGAAACAAAACTTGTAAATATGAAGACAGTACCAGAGTGTTATGATATTTTTACTGACTGAAATTTAATTTTAAAATTTTATTTGGTATAAATTACATTATGGTATCAAAACAAAACTCTTATTTTGACAGCTCCTGTACGTTATCTGGAATAGAGTGTAGCTACGATGTAAAGTGTGAGTACACGCAGAGACTTATGAGAGATCTTTTGAAAAATTGTTATATACTATATACTTTATCATCAGTGGTGCTTTGTACACAATAATAATTTATTACTTTTTATTTACAGCTTGTACATGCATGATTAATGGAAAAATATACAATTATGGGGAAACCATTTACAACACATCAGATGGACTGGGAAACTGCATAACAGCTGAATGTGGAGTCAATGGAAACATTTCAAGGACTGTCTATGAATGCTTAGAAAGCACTACTGCGGGACCGACAACATCTCCATTTACATTTAGTACAGCTCAGGAAACTACAGAAGGTAAATAAATTTTTTTTAAACTGTTTTAAACTTTCCAGATAAATGAATAAAATTTAAAATTGCATTCGAGCTTATTGCATTACACTTAATTAAATTAGTGATTAGAGGTTAATCACTTATCACCTTTTCTTTAAACATTATTCTGTAGGAATGACAACATATGAATCAACAACAGGAGTTTCAGAAACAAAACTTTCAACAGAAATTAAAACCGAGACACCAACAAATCTGTCAACAACGACCGTTTCTAAACCTTCAACACCAGGGAACACAGCAACAAGTACAGAAAGCACAATAGTATCATCAAAGCCCACTGTTGAAACAACATCTA